CTGAAGAAAAGCTAAAAGGATCTGAAGAAAAGCTAAAAGGATCTGAAGAAAAGCTAAAAGGATCTGAAGAAAAGCTAAAATAATCTGAAGAAAAGCTAAAATAATCTGAAGAAAAGCTAAAATAATCTGAAGAAAAGCTAAAATGCGCTAAAGATAAGCTGAAAGGCGCTGAAGAACAGTTAAAAGGAGCTAAAGATAAGCTAAAATGAGCTGATGGAAGCTGAAATTAGCAGAAAGGAGCTAAAAAAACAACGCTGAAAATAGAAACTAAAAGGAGCAGAAAAAGCTGAAGGAGTCTGAAATGAGAGCTTCGTTTGTTTTCAGTGACCCAAAACATGGCAGAGAAAGCTAAACATTTCAAGGAGTAAAACTTGCACTAATCCCAAAAGGCGTAGCAGGAATGTGCTGAACGAGCTGAACGTTTTGATGTCTGAACTTGAAACGGCACAAGAATTGCGGAACAAGTTGCACGTCGGATAATGTACGGAAGGGAAAGGGATCTCAGCAGTGTGAATGTTCCTCTGATGTTCTCGTCTGCTTGGTTTAAAAAGTTATGTTTTTTTTTTTTAAAGACTGCATTAAAATATTTATTTAATCAACGCGTCACCACAAGTATAAAACCTGGCTCGTCCTTCAATCTGGTGCGGTCGCTTTACATTTCGTAACCCATTTTTATTAGTTTAAAGGTTTTCCAACAAACAGAAATGGTCCATTTTTTTGAAGGGTACCATCACCAGCTGGTGCCCAAACACATCGACGTACGTCGACTCTCGTCTTAAAAGCTCAATACTGCAGTCGATTATTGACGACGCTTGAAAAGAAATGTCGGAGCTCTTCTGGGAGGACTCAAAGATGTTTCCAGACCAACCAAGAGACGTAGTCTCTCGAGCATTTCCTTGGTTATCCCTGGGGTCTCCTCTCAGTCGGACATGCCTGGAAAACCTCCCTAGAGAGGCGTTCAGGGGTCATCCTTGCCAGATGCCCCGAGTCTTTTTATTCCGAGCCTCTCCTGGATAAGTGAACTTCTCACCCTGCTTCTGAAGGAGTCCAGCTACCCTGTGGAGAAACCTCATTTTGACCGCCTGTATCTGCAAATTCATTCTTTCAGTCACTGCCCAGAGTTCATGACCATAGGCAAGGGAAGGAACATAGACGGACTGTTAACGCCTTGCCGCTCTACCTCGAATTCACCACAGTGGACTGGCACAGAGGACGCAATACTGTTGAAGCTGAACCGATCTGTCAGAAATATGAGTTTTATTGGAAATAATCCTAAACTGTGGTACTAGCGTCTGGTTGCTATAGTGTAAATTGTTGTGTCTACAGTTTTTAAGAGCAAATCTGAGTTAAAATAGAACTTTTTAAGTTTGGGTGTGGACTTCTATTTAAGATATTTCCATTTTGCCGTACAGTAACTATAAAAAAATAAATATTTTGGGAATAAGAAGAATTTGTTTGCAAGACAATTAGTCAGCTCTGAAGTTATTCATTCTACTTCGAACATGTTGTAAAGCCATAAAATCTTGGAACTGTGATTGTATTAAAACCATAAAAAATATCTGTTATTTGATATCAACTTATACCTTCTTAAAGTCGTAGCACTCTGTTCCCGATCACACTGCGGGGTTTGATGCATTTTTTTTTAATGTTTTTCCAAAACTACGGGGAGAGAACTAAATCAAAAAGGTTAATAAATAAACTCTTATTCAAAGCATCACCATTGTCGGTGTTTGTACAGAAACACGTTCATGCCTAATTGTGGGAATGTTTATGAAGCATTCACACTATTGTGATCCATTTTTAAATGTTCAGCTCTTTCAGGACAGTCCTGCTATGGCTTTTGGTTTTGGTGCAGCTTTAGCTTGTTGAAATGTTTAGCCTTTTCTGCCCTTTTTTCCCTTTATAGAAAATGAATTGAGCTCATTTTCCATCCTTCAAATCTTTAGATCTGTTTACAACATTTTACTGCTCTTTTCACATTTAGTTCTGGTTCAGCTTCCTCGTGCAAATTTAAACTTTTTTTCAGCTAATTTCAGCTGTTTTTCAGCTGTTTTATGCTTCTTTCTGATTCTTTCTGCTAACTACATTTTTGTACTTCTTCTAACTTCTTTCTGTCAATTTCAGCTTGTTCTGCTTCTTTCAGCTCATTTATACAAGTTTCAGCTTTTTCTGCTATTTCAGCTAGCTGTTTCATGCTAATTTAATCTTTTTCAATTAATTCCATGTTTTTTGCACTCCTTTAAATTTTTTCACTGGAATTCAGCAAAAAATGTGCTTTTTCCACTTAATGTAATTTCAGCTTCTTTCTGCTTTTTAGCTCTTTTTCAGCTGTTTTGTTTTGCAAATTTCACCTTTTTTCAGATAATTTCCACTTTTTTGTGTTCATTTCTGCTTTTTTCAGACTAACTGGGTAAACATATGTTCTTTCTGTTTTATTCTGCTAATTTTATCTTGTTCTACTTTTTCAGCTAGCGTTTTAGGGGGGAAAAATAGCCAATTTCAGCTGTTTTCAGAGATTCTTAAATTTCTGCTACTTTCAACCTAATTAACTTCTTTGTTAATTTTAGCTTGTTATGCGCCTTTCAGCTCTTCTGCTAGTTTCAGCTTTTTCTGCTATTTCAGGTACTATTTAGCTTTTTTATGAAAATTTTAGCTTTTTCAGCTAATTTCATGTTTTTTGAGCTCATTTAAGCCCTTTTCACTTCCTTCTAGTAGGTAAAACTTCTTTCTAACCTTTTGGCCACTTTAGATTTTTTGTTGTTGTTAATTTTAGCTTCTTTTATTTTTTTTTTGCTGATTTCTTAATTTTTGTGCTTATTTAAACATAATTCAGCAAATATGTGTTCGTTCTTCTGCTAATTTAGGTTTGTTCTTCAATTTCAGCTACATTTCAGCATGTTTTTTTTTGTTGTTGCTAATTTCAGCTTTGTTCAAATAATTTCTACTTTGTAATGCTCTTTTCTGCTTCTTTGAGCCTAATTGGGCAAACAGGTTTCTTTCTTTCTTGCTAATTTAAGCTTGTTCTAGCTTTACAGCAATTTTTTTATATATATATTTAGCTAATTTCAGCAGTTTTCATGGTAATTTCTGCTACTTTCAGCCTAATTAACTACTTTTTGCTAATTTCAACTTTTTTTCTCATTGCAGCTTTTTTCAGCTAGTTTCTGCTTTTTCTGCTATTTCAGTTACTGTTTAGCTGTTTTTATGAAAAATTTAGCTTTTTCAGTTAATTCCCTTTTTTTAAACCTCATTTCAGCTCTTTTCACTTCTCATAGGTTAAGCTTCTTTCTAACATTGTGACTACTTTGTTTTTTTTTGTTTTTTTGTTGATAATTTTAGCTTTTTTTTTTTTTAGCTGATTTCCTAATTTTTGTACTTATTTAAACCTAATTCAGCAAATATGTTTTTTTCTGCTTTCTTCTGCTAATTAAGGCTTGTTATTTAATTTCAGCTACATTTCAGCATTTTTTTAGCTACTTTCAGCTGTTGTTCAGCATTTCTGCAATAAGCATTCACACTGCACTTTCACAGGAAGTGTAATTTCTCTAGTTCTCTGTGATTTCTCTCTTTTGACTTGTGTCTTTGTTAAATAAATTGACGTTCTCTTTTTCTCCACTCTGCCCCAGATAAGAAGTTCATCATAGCCAACGCCCGCGTGCAGAACTGTGCGATCATCTACTGCAACGATGGCTTCTGCGAGATGACGGGCTTCTCCAGGCCAGACGTCATGCAGAAGCCGTGCACGTGCGACTTCCTGCATGGCCAGTTCACCAGCCGGCACGCGGTGGCCCAGGTGGCCCAGGCGTTGCTGGGCTCCGAGGAGCGCAAGGTGCAGATCACCTACCACCGCAAGGATGGTGAGTGCTTTGGGCTGCCAGCTGTGTGTGTGCGTGTGTGTGTGTGTGTGTGTGTGTGTGTGTGTGTGTGTGTGTGTGTGTGTGTGTGTGTGTGTGTGTGTGTGGGCTCAGGTGGTCCATGGCACCTGATGTGAAGCTGCTGCATTAGTTTGACTTCAAAGTGCCCACTGGCTAGCATCTTTCCAAAAAGGAGCCACCGCCTTGATCAGTATTTATTTTTAGATTTAAAGAATTGTTTACGAAATGTACACGCCACCCACTCATGTCCCCCGTTGCTGAGGGGTTGGAATAGTGAACGTTTGTAGTTTTCGTTGTGCGTTTATCTGGACGGGAATTGAACAAGTAGACCTTAATGTTTGTAGTGCAAGATATTGAAGTGGGTAGGAGTTATTACAGAGGTAGATTCTTTATTTATTGTTTGGCTTAAACGAGACGGCAGAGTGACCGATCCTGGCAGGTGGAGGGAGCAATTTTATCCACCACAACAGTGGCAGAGCTAGGGGGTGGCCAATGGTGGCCTTGCCCACCTTAAATTAATCTTCACCCACCCCAAGGGCATGTCTAATCTTTGAGGAAATTAAATTTTTAAAACAATATAAACTCTAGAAAGCAGTTTCCTCAAATAATTAGTTCGGGCCGTTTGCATACTGTGTGTATGTGCGCACACACATGTACTGTATATGGTGGCAGTCTTTTTGGACTTTTACATGGCAACCCATTAAAAACACACATTGGGTGCTGCTTTGCTACTTCTTGACAATGAGCGTCTTGAATCTACGCAGGGTTCAATGAAATCTCAAGACTATCAAGGCATTCTGGAATGAAATGAGTTGCCTGGCGTAGATGATTAAATACGTGTACAAGAAAAGAGGTATGAGAAATATGCCTTTTTTTTTCCGTGAACTCATGAGTTGTGAAGCCTGGTGACATTCTTAACTCTATAACACATGAAACAACAAGTCTGACGCTAACTGTGCTTCAATTAAGGTGCTTTTTATGACTGGGGCTCGTTTTTCTTTACAACACCAGTAGACCCCAAAGGAAGCTGGTTAGAATATTTTACTAAATTCTCAATAAACTTCAAGTCTACCAGAAAAAAAGTTCCCTGCACTACTGCTGTTGACTCCATTATCATTTGCTCAAATTTTTACCATCGCACCTTTCTCCCCAAAATCTAGCAAATTGTAACATTATGTGTAACAGAACACGGGACTGTACTGAGTTTCTAACAATCACCGTTGGAATTGACCAAATCAGCCGTAGTAAGACGGAGTGCGTGCGTGTGAATGAGAGGGAGACTGGTGGAACGGTGAGGCTACAAGGAGCGGAGGTCACAAAGGTGCAGGACTTCAAGGACTTGGGGTCCACTGTCCAGGAAAATGGGGAAAAGATGTGAAGAAGAGAGTCCAGGCATGATGGAGAAAAGTTTCAGAGTGATTTGTGCCTAAAGGGTGTCGGCAAAGGTCAAATGAAAAGGTTTGCAAGACAGTGGTGAGACCAGCTGTGTTGTGTGGTCTGGAGACTGAGACATGGACAAAAAGACAGGAGACAGAACTGGAAGTGGCAGAAATGAAGATGTTGAGGTTCTCCTTAGGAGTGACAAGGATGGCTAATGGGGCGGCTGTGGCTGAGTGGTTAGAGCAGTCGTCCTCCAGTGCAAGAGTTTGGGGTTTGATTCCACCAGCAGTCACATGCTAAAGTATTTATGGACAAGACACTGAACCCCTCAATGTCTCAGATGTGTGTCCCATGGGTGTATGAATGTGATAAAGCACTGATTAGTCTTTGTATAGTTATAGTAGAGTGCTGTATGAATGGGTAAATGAGGACACAGAATGTAAAGTCCTTTGAGTATCTTGATAAGATAGAAAGGTGCTATATAAAGGACTGTCCATTTACCATTTTTTTTGTAATAATGAAATGAGGATACTAAAAGGACTGCGTCAAAACTTTTTATATATATATATATATATATATATATATATATATATATATATATAGATGTTATGTTTATTAAACATTTTAATTATTTTTACAGAAAAAAAAGAAGAAGAAGAACAGAACAACACTGATACAGATAAACCAAATAAGAATGCATGGACATAACTTACAGCAATTACTTGAACAAAGGTAATCCATTCACATACATACTTAAATGTACATCATTCCAGTTCACATTGCTTGCCTTTTAATTTTGAGACAATCCAGAACTAGTTCTCATTTTTTTAAAAGCCTGGGATTTCCCATTCAGACAATATCTCAGACTTTCCAATACAATAACCTCAGAAATTATATTTATCCACAAATGAACTGAAGTGGCATCACAACCAACTCATTTCAGCATTATGGACTTGTTGGCCAACATGAGTAGGAAATGGATTTGTACAGTCTATTTGTGAGTATCCAGGCGCCCAGGTATAAACCCTAGGAGACACAGCACTGGACTAGAGAGGTGTCTGCTCTATAGAGGAGCTAATTTCTCTGAATACTGCCTGTCAAAATGCCTCTATAGTTTTACACTCCCATAAACAATGGAATCTAGTCCCTTTGACTGATTTACATTTGGAACAGTTCAAAGAAGTTCTGGGTGTGTATTTGCTATATATAGGGAGTTACGTATACATGATGTAAAAGATTATATTGCATTTCCTTATATCGGTTACACATTGAGATTCTAGAAGGCAACATCAAAATGTCTTCCCATGCTTCAGAGTCGATTGGGATTTTAAGCGCTGTGTTCCAAGTGAATCTTAAAATTTTCCAGTCTATCTTTCTTTAGGGCTTGTAGCTCAGTGTAAAATCTTGACATAAATCTTCCACGTTTATGACAATTAATAATTGTTTTTGTCAAGTACTTAGTCCCCTGAGATCATGAGTCCCATGGATCATGTATTTCCCATAGATCTTGTATTTCCCATAGATCTTGTATATACCATGGATCATGTATATCCCATGGATCATGTATATCCCATAGATCATGTATATCC